GGGGGGAGGGCCTTTGGGGAGCCTCGACTATCAGGAGCAGATTATTTAAACCTGGCTTTGAATAGGAGGGGGTCGGGGTAACAGAGGGTCTGTCTTTTTTTATAAAGGCAGATTTCCAAGGAGAAAATTTTACTTGCAAAAAAATAATAATAAAAAACATTATTACCGCGCGTTCCTGCCCCTAAGCAGCCGAGTCGTGGTGGCAACAACGACGACAGTGGCAGCTTACAGGTGGCCCGGTGTGTGAGCTGGGGGGGGGGGATGCAGGGAGGGGGGCGTGGAAGCACCAAAAGCCCCCGTGTCTTCAGTCACCGCAATCATCCTCAACTCCCAAATTGTCCTGGATGGGGAAACGCGTTGGATTAGTCTTCAGCTGTTTTGTCCAAACTGGGGCACAGATGGGATAATGCCTTTTACAAACAGCATTTTGATGAGAGGAGGGGAGAAGGAATCGTATGTAAAATGCACAAAGGCTGCATAAACACACTGAGGCCTGCAGCTGGAACAAACTAAAAAGATGTTTAATAATTTAGAACCAAGCAGGCAGGCCTGCTGCAGCTGTTGTGTGCAGGCGACCATGAAAGGCTTCTATCTGACAGCTGGCTCCATCTTTTCCCTTGGTTGCTGTGTGGCAAGGAGATGGCAGATTTGGGATTAGCCAATCCCAGCTACCCTCGCCCATCTGCCACCAAGACCCTGGGTTCTGACTCTTCTGTACAATGGAAGTGTGCGTGCGTGTGTGTGTGTGTGCATTAAGTTGGGTGTGTGTATGTGTGTGGGGGGTAGCCATAGCTCACGCACACATGCGGAAAAGCAGGGGGGGGGGTGGCGCACGCTGGGAGATTAGTGAGCGTGCGTGTGGGGGTCGCCCACGCAGCGCATGGCCAACGCGCCAGTCCCGCATGCGGACGCTGCCGCTCTCACCGCCTGAGGGCACGTTTTACACTTTACCAACACAAAATGATTTCCGCACACATAAAAAAAAAAAACAATACAAGGATCTAATTGGCTGAATTAACCAAGTCATGGTTCATACCCACTCCCCTCAGACTCCACCCCCAGCTGACAAGCATAGCTAAACTTGGGGGTGGGGGACTTGGAGAGGGCAGGTGACAGCAGGCCTGCCAATGAGAATCCGCGTCCCTATAAACAGCCCCCATCCAGTCTGATTTCAGATTAACGTACAGCACTGCAAACACACCCATTTATCGTAAATTTAACATAAACCTCTTGCTTCTCTGTTTTATCGCTGTATTAGCTATCCTAACAAAAGTTTGCTCCTCGTACGAAATCTTCAGTGTATTTGCCCTAAACTTTTTTTTTATTATTATAAAAAGTGTAACATGGCAGGCCACTTGGCTATTATTTAATTATTCATCTTCTTAGCTCAGAATTTTATCGAGGGCAACGCATAGTTCATAGTTAATTGATGGTGCATTGCCTAGCAACTTCTAACCCATAAGTGTTGTGTCTTAAAAATACAAACCCATCAGGGTCTGAGCAAGAAAAGTAAATTTTTCATATATATTTTACACAGTAACAATGGCTAAGTGCCATTTTCAATGACGAAATTAGCTACTGAAATAGTGTAATATCTGTTGTAAGCATCAACTTTGAATGAAACTGACAAGAATTTCGTATAACTAATAACATTGCAGAGATGACTGCACAATGGAAATGGATGAGTAGAATGAGATTCCTCCTGTTTGTTGACTTTGTGGTGCACTAATGAGAAGATTGATTAATAAAGATTGAGCAATAGTTATACCCTTAACAATAACTGAACTAAAATGGGCACTTTAAAGAGAATTTGGGACAGCGTTTGGACGGTTCCGGTGAAAAATGGGCCCAGTTTTTGAACGGCTGTCCGTCTGTAGCTGTTCCTTCCTGACACCCTCCGTCGTGCCGGAGTGGACCACGCAAGCCGAGGTCAACAAATTCGATTCGTCACAAGTAATAGGCCTGGAATTCTGATCCGCTTCTGTTTTACGTGGCGGTGCTTTGTTTTGGGGGAAAAAAAAAACCCTCTTTTTGCACTGGGTAATCTGTCAAAAGGATCGGGATGGTTCTTAATTTGGAAAAGTCCTTTTATCCCTAAAGACTCTGGAGAAATATTAAGCACGAGGCATAAGAATGTCAGTCGATTTAAACTGAAATGAAATAAAATCCTCGAGAATAAATGCCGTCCGTTTCCTTTTTTAACAGACTTTACCATGGGAATTTCTGTTCAAGGTTACAGGACGAGGTCCTGGAAGAGATTAAGTACAGTATGTGAAGCTCCTTCCCCCCCCCCCTCCCGCCCGCCCCCTGCTCGCCATGCTCTGTGATCTCTTCAGAGCACTGCCCAGCTGTCTGATAGCCTGGCACTCGCTCCACTACCTGGACTCCTTGCTGCGCGCTTCAGATCACAGGCCGAAGCGTTTCCCTCGGAAACCCTCCGCCACAGCCGGCAAACCGAATGCTTTCACTCGCGGGGGGGGGGAGGGGGCGTCCCGCAGGGATGGAAAACAACAAGCTCCCGAAGTCAGGCGGCCAGGAAGGATCCTGACGAGAAAAGAGCCCCACTTTACTGGTAGCTAATGTTCCGACAGCCCGAGGCCATGCAGTTATCATGCGTGTGATTATCATACGTGCGATCATCGTGCGACGTAGCTGTGTCGTCACGAGACACCCTCTCCCAGTTAAGTCCCAGATCCGTGCCATTAATTATATTTTATTTAATTCCCAAACCGTCTTTTCGTATCCGTTCATTTGTTCTGTTTTTCCTCGATGGGCGCTTTGGGAATGTCCATCAGTGTCCTACTTACCGTCTCATTTTCCTCCCTGTGATCTCCGGATGCGGCACGCCGAAACTGATCAATCAGCCACGTCCGTCCTGGAGCGTCCGACTACAAAGGGGGGAGACCCTTGCTGCCTCAGCCTGCGCGAAGGCCCCCCCCTAAAACTCGTAAACTCTTCTTAAGAGCTACACGACGGTGGTGGGGGGACTTCTGGTTTTCATAAAACGTCCTTCACCTGAAAATTGATTTTTTTTTTTTAGACATTCTCTGAGAGGCGTACAAATGTGTTTGTACAACCGTGCGGTTTGTATAATTACAATTTCCCTTTTTTACCAAAATAAGTAATTATGTTTGCAGAGGTCGGGGTCCTGGATATTTTTGAGTGACCTTCCAAATAAAAACACCACGCAAGGTGACTTTCTGCTCATCCGCATTAGGCATTTGCCCAGGCAATTAACTACAACACAAAAAATACTACTGCTAAATGTGGCAAGTAATAAATAATACTGTTAATAATATTACAGAAAACATTATAAGGCCTGCTGTAAAGTAATTTTGCCTGCTTACAGTTAAAGCACATTTAATGGTGTAATAATATAAAGATAAAAATATTAAATATGTAATTCTTCCATTTTAGATAATTGTGAATATATAACTTTATAATATAACTTTCCCATCTGAAAATAATTATAGTTGAGCTTTTGAAAGCTTTTCAAAATATTTATGGAAAGAGATGATGCATTTCTAAATGCTTCAAGCAGACTTTTCTGGAAGTGTCTGAGATTCATATACACTGAATAACAGTAACATTAACATTATATTAACACTGTCATATTACACATGAAAAACGGGAATCTGAACACTTGGTGAAGTGGTTGCTTAGCAATGCCACAGATCGACTCAGATTGGTTACGAAACACGTTTCAAACTACGTAAACATAAATATGTAATAAATCATTAAGAGAGGCAATGACGTCACGTCGTTACAAATTCTACTGAAAATAAGTTGACAAAATTTAATGACGCAAATTTCATATAGCTTTTGCTCATGAGCATTTTAATATAGCTAATTTTTCACAAACATACAGTGATTTGTTATTCGGTATTTGTCGGGCTCTCAGATTGGCAGCCCAATTAAATTAATAAAGACAGGGAGATATAAACAATGTCTTCACCCCCCCAGGGGGGCCACCCGCTCCCCCGGAGGTGATGCCGCGGTCAGCCAAGACGCACGCCACACTCAAGGTGACCACAGCGCACTTTCACCAGCTTCACAGATCAATACACCATCGAACACAGACCTCCCCGTCTCCAAGGTGGGTGGGTGGGTGGGTGGGTGGGTGGGGGGACTGTCTTGCACTGCCTCTGGGGTGTGCCACACAAATGGCTTTAGGTTGCGAAATCTTTCATGGTCAAGAATTTGGGCCAGTTTTTTTCTCTCTCTTGGCAGGAGCTCTGAAAACTTCACACGTAATTAAATCGTTGATCGTATGATACTATCAAAAAAAAAAAACCCTTTTACTGTATGGTAAATTATATGAATTAACAGGAAAACGTAAAGGTAAAAATGGCTGACAAATAACTGTGGGTATTGTGCAAATTATCGTAAGTGCCATGGGATCTTTCACCGCAAATACAAACCGGACGCGTCGCAGGAACTGACACGGGCATCATTCTCCTCCAATGTAAAGCCCCCCCCCCCCCCATTAACATGACTATCAGCACCCCACCCTTTCTGATCCGCCGGCACCCAAGCCGCTTTGTCCTACACTGCAGGACATATTGCCATCTTTAGTAAACATTATGCAATGTACTCAGATCCACAGCTGTTGAACGTAGAATTTAAATTTTAATTGGGGTGTCAGGGGTGCTTTGGGGTGGGGTGGGGGTGGATGGGGAGGGGGCGCTGAGGCAGCTCAGAGGGATGGATCCTTGTTGAAATTGATAACTTGAGGAGACGTGACCCCTCCCCCCCCCCAACCCACACACACACCTCCCACAACCTCCACCACTCTGCCCCCCGCCCCCCGAGGGCCCCGGCATTCATGCTGTGACTGCACATGAGGCAATTACGCAGCGGCGGTAACGGCACGCGGGCTCTGCTCTCGGCTACATCTGGACAGTTGTTTGAAATGGCGTCGGTCGCTTAATTAGGTTGTTCGCTGATCTTCCCTCCCCGGCGAATGGAAGGCCCTCAGAACCTCAGACAATTAATCTGCGTCTGCTGGTCCTGCTATGTCCCAAGGAAAGGGGCCCCAGCAGCGTCAGTGACCCCCCTCCCAGCCCCAGGGCCTCACTGACCCCTGGGAGAAAAGCAATTATGTAAAAAAGCGTCTTTTCCCCGACTGGCCTCCCGTCCAGCAGGCAGACGCGTTAGTGATACTGCAGACGTCATTTATGCGTTGGATAAATACTCGGAATATGTATTTGTTACGTTTGTTACTCTTTCTAGCAGTAACACTATGACTTATCAATCTTCATACTCAGACTGCCGTGAAGAAAAATAACGTGAAATTTTCTTCAGCATTTAGTTTCAGGTGAAGATTTGTCTTTGGGAGAG